CCCCCCCCCCCCCCCCCCCCCCCCCGCTCGCGCGATTCTCTCTTCCGCGGGCACCCTTCACTTGCGGGACGCTTTTCTAGGGGGTCGGTGGTCGGAACCAACCGCCTCCGCAACAGAGGTAAACCCGTCCGTCTTGAGGAGGTCGGCCAGCTCCGCCTTGATGCCCGGTACGGCGCCGGGCCCCTTGTAGACGAGGAGGGAATACACCTGGTCGCCGCGCGAGAGACGGGTTTGCCACGAGAACAAAATGAGCTACGTGTACAGCTCAAAAACATGCTGTGCTGTTGTGGTTTACAAGCATATATCCCGTCCTGGTCCCTGTATACGGGGCCGCAGAGTGGCAAGGGATGTATTTGGTCGGCATGTTACCCGCGGGCACCTGTCGCCAAAAAACAAAGCATGTGCGGAATACAATCATATCCTGAAGGAGAGCGAAGGTATACATGGCCACAGCAGCGTGTTGTAGTCGTAGAATGCACATGAACCTTTCAGCACGTCAAACACCACCATTTTACGACGTTTAACACTTACTCAATTCCACCGTGCAGATTAGGCATGGGAACATGTGAGTGCCAACTTGAAGTTCGCGTTTGGTCACTAACATCACCTGGACAAGAGAAGCCCCAGCGCGGATCTTGTCATAGGCCTCCTGGCCCGTACCCACTCCACCAACACCGATCAGAGGGACCTATGCACACGCAAACAGATAGGACAAGACTTTCAGTTATCGTGTGTCCGTGTTACTGAAAAGTGTGCAGGGTCGCACAGAAAAAAGAGAGGAGAGGCATCACACAACCATTGAGGAGTGGCATCAAAAACACGCACAGGAGAGTACGGGCACCAAAAAGACACCAGTGAGGCGTGTGTGCGGTGCTGGTGCCACACGAGCGTGTGTCAGTCATCGCACAAGCCCCTTCGGCTATACCACACTGTTCGGAAGTATAGGTTGCCACTCTGTTCGAATGAGTAAGTTTCATTCGGATACTAACGATTTTTGTCCCAATGGTCCCTGTATATTTTTTGCAAAGGGCGGCATGTCAATGCCGTGATGAGAGACAAAACGATACACTCAGGACTTGCCTTCCCCTTGGTGAGGCGGTACATATCCCTGATGGTCTCCGTGGACATCTTCGTCAGGGGCTTGCCGCTGAGCCCCCCGGCTTCCCCCTTGCTCTCGCTCCGGAGGTACGACGGTCGTGACACCGTCGTGTTCGAGACGATCAGTCCGTCCACCTGCGGACGCAGAACAAACCAAAGGAGAGGGTCAGGGCATACAATGGTGACTGCCAGGACAGGACAAAAAAAGAGAACGGGAGGATGTCAGAGTATACAGTAGTGGCCGCCTGGTCAGGACAAAAAAAAAAGAGAACGGGAGGATGTCAGGGTTACATTGGCTGCAGGACAGGACAAAAAAAAAAGTGAGGGAGCGCGGGTCAGGGTGTGGCTGCCAGATGGGCATCAAATATCATTGGTAAGCACGGCTGAGTGCTCGGGTCGAACCAAGGAGGGAAAACCAAAGTCCGTGGTGCGGATCTCCCGTTCTGCGCCCGGGACACACCCTGTTCGGCACCCAGGGTATGTTTCACGATCATGTATCCCCAAGCAATTCACAACACGATCATCGCAAAAGATGGGCCTGCTCATGCACAACCATGTGCGACTCGAGACGTATCATGTGCAAACGTTTCGCTCCTTCATACACACGGGCAACGAAAGAAAAAATACGAATAAGTCAAGTGATGAGACGCGCAGGCCAGCTTCCTCTCTTTTTCCCTTCCGTCCTTTCCGGGAAATCTACGAAATCTACGAAATTTGTGAAACCTACGAAATCTGTGAAATCTACGACATATGTGAAATCTACGAAATATGTGCAATCTGCGAAATCTGCAGCAGCTGCCTGCCTTGGTGGAAAGGACGACATTGGCGATGTCCCTCTTCTCCCTCTCAGTCAGGTCAGGGGCTATCTTGACCAGCAGCGGCAGGGGCATCGGATTGCCGGTGGACTCACAGACCTTCGTTCGGCAAACATATTAGTCGTGTGGAAAGAGCAGACACAACACGGAGAGAGCCAAACATGAGGAAGTGTGAAACAGAAGAGACCGTTGCGTCAAGGAGAACGTGTGCCCGCTCAAGCAAGATATAGTCTAACCGCATGGGTATGAAAACGCCATGCGGCATGAAGATCACGGTATTTGCATGTGTTGTAATTCTTGTTGGTATCCTCCCACGAACATAGCAAACCCTCCTTGAGAATAAGCAAAAAACAGTCACGAATACAGCAACAGAGTGCATGCAGTACACACCTTCCGAGGAAGCCAAACCAACCTCTCAGAATCCTAGGTAGACAGGGCAGCTAAGGGCTATTGCCAAAAATATACATTCAGCACCCGCATTGACATCGACAACGGGGTCGAGGGGGCAAAACCAGCAAATTGCAACATCAATCAAACACCAACAACCTGAGCCAAACACGAAGAAACCACAACGGTAACAAAGTAAGACATTCACGGGGAGCAAAGACAACCCGCAACCCCGAACAGCGCAAGACACACACCGAAAAAAGGGAGGGGAACAGCAGTAACAAGAAGAAAAAAAAACCACGCCACAGGCCAAAAACACCCGCAAAGTCAGGCCACCTGATCTCTTGCGTCCATCGCCGCCAGAATGACCGCCCTGATGGCCTTGACGCCTTGGAGGTCCCGCAGCCCCGGGGTGTTGGGAGACGATACGTTCACCACCAGGTAGTCCGCGTAGCACCCCAGCGTGCGGATGCCCTTGCAGAAGTCCGCCGAGGAGTCCTAAACATAACCGTTGGCGGTGGCGACGGCGATTCGTGACAGCGGGGGGGGGGGGGGGGGGACCCCTGTAAACCCCTGCCCGAATCCTTGCCCCCAAAAATTTTCAAACCCAACAATGGCGGGGAGGGGCTGTGGGCCGGGGTTTCCCCCGCCCCGGGTGGGGGTCCCCAGGGTGAACCCAAAATTTAACTAACATCCCTTCCAACCCGGGGCGGAGCGAAATGAAGGATTTTTCCCCGGCCCGGGTCCGAAAAAAAGAAGGAACTGGGGGCCCCCCCCTCCCTTTTTTCCCGACCAAAACCCCTTCCCCCACCCCGAAAGGGGATTTTTTTCTTCAAAGGACACGGGGGCCATTACTGGTGGGCTCGCAAGGGTAAGGGTTGGGGTTTTTTATTTCCCGAGGGGTTCCCCGTTTTCCCCTCCTTTTTCC